GACCTTGAGGCAATGTTAAAAGATGGTGATTCCGGTGAAGGTCAAAACGTAATTGAGCGGATGATGTCGAAAACGAATACAGCGATAACATAAATGAAAACTCCGCCGCTGTTACTGGTTCTATTTATGTTACGATTGAACCTGAATCCCGTTCCAAACTGGAACAACAATCTGACGATATTCAACCAGAAAATCAGCAACCTACTGTGGACATAATAAATGCAAACCCTCTACCAGACGATCAACAGCCTTCTGAACTGGAACAACATTCTGCCGAGAGTCTACCAGAAAATCAGCAACCCACTGTGAGTGTGGACATAATAAATGGAAACCCGCGAGCAGCCGATCAACAACCTTCTGTCAATATGAGCAATGAAAAGGAAAATTTACTCAACGGAAAATCGAACGAAATTCGGAAGGCTCGTAACGCTGCTAAAGAATCACTTGATAAGCAAGCCAAAAAAATGTTGGCGCATTCAAATGCAAAACTGCCTATTGCAGAAATAGGCCAAAGCGTTCGCGAAAGGATACCAGATTTAGATCGAGCCACAACGGATAGTCGTAATATACAAACTTGGAACTAAACACGGTATTTCAAACCAACTGTACTCCAGAAATGAGTTTATTGTGTGTGAAGAAAAGTTCATTTCTATCGACGATGTTCCAAAAGTTGATATTAGTTTTCGAAAATGTGCTCGAAGAGACTCTCATTTTGATGGACAAGGCTTCCAGCATTGTAACTGTAGTGGTGACTGCAATTCAAAACGTTGTGAATGCTAGAAATCAAACATTCTTTGCAATTCCAAACGTCACAAAAGCTCATCTTGCAAGAATAAATAATTCTGAACTCAATAACTTTCTTGGGCAGTCCTTAATTATTAGATATTTCTGTTGATTTTTCTCAGTTTACTGATTTTCAAACTATTGACTATGTTCAATAGTTCATTTTTTTGTTAACTTTTCATGAAAATTTTGTAAGTTTTTTTTCATTTAATGAACAAAAACACTACAGTTCACCTATTTTATCACTTTGCCCAAGATAGGGTGGGCATTATTCATAATGACCGGGAAAAGTGATCAATTATGCTGTTTTAATCACATTACTCAATTGAGTCGGGCATTATGGATACAACCGGCCATTATTAATGGTGCCCGGACTTATCAAAAGGCCCGTAACACACATATCTCAAAAATTGCNGCTAATAAGAAGACCTGATTTTCCTGTTTTCCTGAAAAATGTAATTTGGATAGATGAAAGCACTTTCACGAGTTGTGGGATTTTCAACCGAAATACCGAACACATTTGGAGCATAAACACCCCCTGGCAGTTCCGAGGTGTGACTGAGTATTTACGTGTGGACAGGAATTTACAAAGATAGAATTTTGGGTCCTCATTTATTTGGCGAAATTCCGAATGGAGAAACCTATCACCAGTTTTTAATGTCGATTATCGAAGATTTTTTGGATGATCTACCTTTGACTAACTATAACAAGATCTGGTTTCTACATGATGGTGCTTCACCGCACCCCACCAGATGAGTTTCTAATTACCTGACTTTAAAATTTGGTGATAAACCGATAGAAAATAATGGGACGGTGAGGTAGCCAGAAAAGTGTCAAGACTTTGCTGAGTGTTTCAGTATATCTGCTATCATGTTCCTGGAAACTTGATTCCTGACTCTCTTTCGAGCCAGTCCCTTCGAGGAATCAGGCATATATTGAATCGAATTTTTGACAGTAGCAATGACATCCTCAATGACTTTCTCGGAAGACGGGATGCCAAATTTCAAACCGTTGATCTCTTCCTTATCAAAAGATCGTGATGAATGATTTTCAATAATGTTTATGACTTCATGGGTAGCTTCTTTCGGTTCAGTAGAAGTTATTATGGAAAAGTTATTATTATGAAATTAATATTGTACGTGTACAAAACATTTTCAACCGGTCTTCTCTATTGTCATTTCATAAACATCGATAGGATGTAGTGTGCCAAGTTTGAACTTGATGGAATCAAAATAATCGTAGCGTGTAACATTTAAATAAATATTGAAAGTAAATAAATGAAACCTCGAGAGATATGAATTCATGAAGCCACCCTATGAATATACGTATTGTTTCCTAACTGGGGTAAGAAACTTCGGAGGGTGATTCGTTAGGTCTTTAAAAAAAAAGTTCTTATGAACATATGTTCGATGTTGCTTCGTTTCTGAAATACAGGGCATTGTAGTTTAAAAACGGTATCTATAAAATATCACAAATATCCTCACACTGATTTGGTTGAAATTTGCTACAGTTATTTGGAGTAATGGAGCGCTTATTTAGTTCGAACTAGATTGAAATTATTGGGTCCAGTGGCGTCTACACTGCAGTGCAATCTTCCTGATACTACTTGAAGGATTCTATTCTATCGCATGTCGGTAATTATATACCCATATTAATAATATGCAACTCTGCCAAAGTATTTGAAATCCTCATCTAAAGCAGGTTATATTCTTATTCGAGCAATCAAATTACACCACTTAAACATGGTTTTATGAAAGGTCGCTCGACAATCACCAACCTTTTCAATGATAGATCCCAAACTGATGTCATACATATAGTCTCCTCTAAGGTGTTTGACATACTTCATCACGGATTACTGCAATCGAAATTGTAGAGGTACTGTTTTTCTATGACCCTTATCCAACTTTTCATATCATACTTCACTGACAGGCGTCAGTTCAAGTCCGTGGAATATGTAGCTACCTCGGGTATTCCACAAGGAAGCAACCTTGGTCCACTTCTCTTCAACGCCTTTATAAATGACATGGTTGAGGTCATTGAAATCAACTGTTTGATATAGGATGACCTGAAATTATATTGTGAGATGACATCGAGGACTGTTTTCAACTTTCCCCTCAATCTGAAACGTGTTGAATAATGATATTTTCGCAGTAATCTTCCTTTAAACGCGAGTAAATGTAATATAATGACGTACACACTGAAAAGTTGTCCATTTTCATATCAATATTTATTGAACGATATTTTACTTCAACGGCATGTCACATTCACCGATCTAGATGTTACCTCCGACACAAAACTTTCCATCGCACCATAGATTGGAGCCATTCTTTCTGCTGCAAACAGAATGCATGGATTTATAGCACTAATCTGCAGATATTTCACTGATCCATCTACATCGAAAACCTTATACTATGCTTTCGTCAAATCAAAATTACAATATGCATCCATAATCTGGAATCCATCTCAACAGTTGTATACAGAGAAAGTTGAATCAGTACAATGTCGTTTCCTTAAACGTCTCTCCTACAGATGAGACAATATCTATTCACCAATTGGATTTCCTCATGATGTATTGTTAGCTAGACATGCTATGAATAGCTTGAGTTGCCGTCGTGATTGTCACTCTACAATTTTTCTTTTCAAACTGAATAATAATTTGATTATTGGCCCACATATTCTGTGAAAACTGAATTTCAATGTACCTAGACGAACCTCTAGAGTGGGTAATCCTTTTTATCTGCCAACACCATGTACAAATACTCTGAAACGTTCACCTCTGCATAACATGTGTGTCAAATGCAATTCTGCAAGTTGTCAGCTTGACATTTTTTACTGTTCCATCTCTGAGATTACGTCTTTTTACTTCAGCTAACTCTATGTGTATTGTTTGTATCTTATAACTTATTGTAATTGTATTGCATTGTGATTTGACTTATATTCATGTTCTGTAGTTGGCTGTCACCCATAGAACATTGAATAAATGGATAAATAAATCAAGTAAAGCTTCTTCTAGCTCAGGCGTTGTTACAGTTTCTGGTCTTCCACCACCTGCGTTTTCATGAAAACTCTCTGTTCCACATAATGTCTCATGAAGCGTTCTAAAGGTTTCAGTACATGGAATTACTCTGTTGAAATTTCTGCCCTGGTAAATTCCCCGTACCTTTTCCACATTTCCATTTGCTATTCTGTTTGAAAAATCTCTTTAGAATCTGTTTTTTCGTTAATCAGCTGTTGCCCCCATACGAACGACAACTCTCAGAAGTTGAAAAACTTGTGACGCCTATCAGAAAACAACTACTTCCCTGGCTAATACTACGAAGGGCATTGGATTATACCCGACAGTTGTTTTCTGATAGGCGTCAGTCCATTCAACCTACTGTGTAGGTATATTCGAGACTGGCTTGAATGTTTGAAGTTCATTTCTTTAGATTTGTTTACTGCCATTCTTCAAGCATAGCCCACCAACCAATAAAAACGTTTTTCTTCCTTATTCAGATGAATCGGGCAAATTACGGATATGCAGTTGGTTAGTACCTCGTCCACTAGATGGAGTGACATTTTTTCGTTCGCTACAACTTAAGAAGAGGAATGAAATACTCTGAAAGAATTCCGATTTTCAATTATGGAATATCATTGACTTTAGGTCGATGATGGCCACTATCTTGCAGTGATGAGTGGCTAATGAGCCCAAAACCGGTCTGCAAGTGTGCCCGTTCCAAAATTGAAGGCCGACTCTTTTAGTTGTATTGCCAATTGCATATCCAGGAAATTTTCTGTGAAGATTCCTGCACTGACGCCTGTCGGATATTATCCAACGCCCTTCGTGGCATAAGCCAGAGAAGTAGTTGTTTTCTGATAGGCGTCAGTCCTTTTAACCTACTGTGTAGGTATATTCGAGACTGGCTTGAACGTTGAAAGTTCATTTCTTTAGATTTTTTAGTAGAAGTATTCATGATGTAATCACTGCTCAATGACAACTCTGACTTTTACTGATATGACAACACTATTACTGTCAGCTGGTCTCCAAAGCAGGTGTCCATGATATGTAGGTTTGTATCATAATTTTCTTGAACCATATCGAATCTTCCAATATATAGAATGACTAAAGGAAGTGAAATGTGCTGCCCTGTTTTTCCTCAAATTGAATCAGCCTAACCCAAAATTCATTGAGGCCGTGCAACATCTCAAATTGAATGAATCAAATGAGATTCATCAGAATGGATAGCAAACGACTGTATTTTCAGCAGCAATCTTTTCTGATTCGCATCAAGAAAAATCGAACTCCACAAAGCCCAAATGGAAGCACTCGACCGGATCAAAATGATATGGGGTTTGTTCGAGTAGATAGAGGACATTAGGTCGTAAAGGATAATGGCAAGGCATTCAAAAGGACAGACGGATGCTGTCAACCGCATTATATAAAATAATTGAGAGAAAATCGAACTGGGCTCCGATTTCCTATTGAATATCACAAAGCCGGCATATTTCGAATTATCTTCGCAGACTGGTTCCATAAAGGAGGATGATGATTGAAAATTCTTTGAGATATTCTATACTAATCAAGAAAATAACGATAATGATGGATTTGTGATGGGGAAATTGGGGTCCAATCTTTATGTTCCACATTTAAACTCGGAGAAGAAGGGAAAGTTGGATGATGGAAATCAACTGGATTGGTCTGTATTTGAATGAAAGGAAAATAATCATATTATTAAAATGATGAAACTTGATCTTTTGATATTTCCAACGAAATTGATGAACTATACCAGGATAAATATTATTGGAGTTTTTTCCCAACACGAAATCGTTATTTTCAACACCTCGACACGTGTTTCGATCACCAAGTGTTCATCTTCGAAGAGGAAGATTAAAACTATAAACTAACGCGAAGCTAACCCTAATATGGAATGGTTTTGTTGCAGAATATGATGGGCGACTGCTGATTTTTCAGGTCTTCCATATTTTAAGTGTGCTATGTGTTTCTTATGTCATACTTCAATAGATCTTTTTGTCTGTCCATAATATTTTGCATCGCAGTCCTTACATTCAATTTCGTAAATTCCAGACTTTTTCGAATTCTCGACTTTGTCTTTTGGACTTTCCGAAAGGCTCTGTAGTGTGTGACTCGTTTCAAAAACCACCTTCATACCTAGGTTCTTGAAAATCTTTCTAAAGTTTCTCGTATATTGGTGGTATTGAACTGAGATGTATTTATCTTGGTTTTTGTCCTTTCTGAAAGTCGAGATTTCGTTCACTCTTAACCTAAACTTCTTCTTCCTTATTATGTAATGTACAATACCCGTCGAGAAACCGTTAGTGGCTGCTATTTCCTGTATTGTACGTCTTTCTTTTGTGAACCTATCATGTGTTAGAGGAAAAGTCAAAAGATGATGCACTAAAAAATTTAACACAGCACGTTTGTGCTGTCCACAGTGATGTGAACTTGTTTCTTTTCTAAATATATCGTATTCTAACCCTCCATATTGGCTCCTCATTACCAAAACGTCAAGAAATGGTAGTTGTCCCTTATTTTCTAACTCATACGTGAATTTTATTGATGGACATCTATTATTTAAAATGGAAATAAAGTTCTCAATATTCGATTTTTTGGTATCGAATATCATCCACATACAAATCCTAGGAAACTACTTTGACTTTTCTTTGGTTTCCATTTCGAATCTGCTCATGAACAGGTCTTCCAGGTAGGGGGCAAGGGGTTTTCCATGGTTTAGATAGGCAATATTGTGAGTGAAATTCATTGAAGAACCCATTATAGCACTCATTTAAAATACTTCATTTGTGGGTTTAGTTTTTGAAGTGAGAAACCTATATCTATATCTCGCTCACTTTTTCATGTGATACATTTTTTCTTTCTCAATGAAATGATATATTTATTATTTTTCAATTAGTGCTGAGGAGTTCACAGAGTTGTTATTTCAGTATACATTTTTTTGAGAGTAGGAACATTCAAATTCAAATACTTCTAATATTTGTAACATGAAAATATTCAGGAATATTTTATTTAGTGAATGAATATCTCGAATTAGATTTTTTATTTTTAATATTGGTAATGTTTCTAGTGAAATAATTCAGTGTGTATCGTTTTTGGAATATACTTGTTTATGAATATTATGTGTCTTATCACTTGAGTGGATCTCGCATCAAAATGCAACGAATGCAACTATTTTAAGACTCATTTTACTCATCACATTCTTGGAATATTTCAAATATTCCTAGAATATTCATAAAATATATTTGAAGAATGGACACCGCGGCCAATTCCACTACTAGAGTATTTCATCAATCCTGGCTGAGGGAACTATGATATAGCAGAACCGGTGTCGCGGTTTTATTGAACTTTTGTTGTGAAAATCACAAAACTGTAATTGAGTTTTGATCGATGTCAATTTACATCAAGTATCGACCAGTTTCGTTCAATAAACTCGAAAGTTTTCATTGTAATGGATATGCTACCGCATATAGAAAGAGATCTTGTAACACCTGGTATATTAGTGAGAAACTAGAATTTTTTTTCAATTCATTCTCAATTCAATTTCACAGAATCGTACTCTGACATTTTGACTCGGCAAAGTCAAGATTGATGTTATAATAATCTCCAAAGACATCATCAATAAAGTCGACAATCCTACCGCATAAATTAAATCATCATCAAAGTTTTTCAGTGCATTTCTATTGCACGCAAACGGTTAGCAACGTCTATTTTTAGCAATACCCTCAATGGATATCAAGGTTTATTGGATACGCTGATGTATAGCCGTTTAATTGGCTACGACATGCTGGTAATTGGTTCTCAACTATTCCACGATCGAGCAATTTGATGAATTGTTAGAAGATGTCAACACTTAACATAATTGGCACGAGTTCGAGACGATACTTGATTACAAAAGGACTGACTTGGGAACTGCGCTTCAGAATCGGTCTGAGTTACTCGCAATATCGTCTTTCACATTGTCAATTTGAACCGTGGTATACGGAATGAAGCGATGGAAAGTTTATCCCAATTTTATGAACGTGGAAATTCGTGGGATTCATATTGTAGCAAACAAAAGCGTTATTCACGGTATTCAACGAGCTTCACGAAATGTTATATGGGCTGAGGAGTCTCGGACCTAGCCATTAGATGGCGCTAATCTCATTGCATTCACCTTTTTTTCAGTTGATACCAACCTCCAAAAGAAATCCGTTGAGATGTCATGATATTCTCATGAGTTTGTGAGTTATTGTGAGTGACACTTCATTGTTAGTTTCTAAACAATGTGTCAAAAATAATTACGTGTTTTAATTTTACAGTGCCCCTTGATGGTAAAAAATTATGTAAGGACTCCACCTCATCAGAAACAACAATTTAACGTTGGTTTACTCAGACCCATATGAAACGTCAGATTCACTTCAAGATCCTACGTATACTGTTAGCCGTAGAGATGATAGCCTATCACCAGATGGTGATCAACCAGACGAAACTGAAAACGTTTTGGTAGGTGAAGATGGCGGGATATATATATCGTTTGGAACCTTTGGTGTAGTAATGAATATTACTGGAGTTTTTTCCCAACACCAAATCGTTATTTTTACACCTCGACACGTGTTTCGATCACCAAGTGATCGTCTTCAAGAGGAAGATAAAACTAATAACTACTCAAAACTAAAACTACTTATACTACTCAGGTACATCATACAGGTAGGTAATCAGTAATACCACCCATACAAGTGTACCACCCTAAATTGATTTTACAATTGGCCTTTCCATTATTTACAATATGTCCTTATGTATGTTTAAATGTTACAGCTATATATAGAACTATTTTCAGCTATATAAAATTAGTTTCACAAAAAATATTATGGACAGACAAAAAGATCTATTGAAGTGAGATATAAGGAACACATAGCACACTTAAAATATGGAAGATCTGAAAAATCAGCAGTCGCCCATCATATTTTGCAACAAAACCATTCCATAGACTTCAATTCTTTAAGATTAGTTAGACAAGTTAATAACAACAGGCAACTAGATGCCTATGAGAGTGAGCTTCAAGATTACATAACTGGACTCCTACGAATCGAAATGAAATGAGACAGTTTCTTGGACTCCTTGGATACATGGGATTGGTGAAAATGCCGAGCGTCAAAGATTATTGTAGTCAAAAGCGTCTTTTCAAAAACTCCGTCGTTTCAGAGGTTATGACCAGAAATAGGTTCCAATTACTTTTAACATTTTAGCATTTCAGTGACAATCAGCAATGTCATGATGGTAACAAAGTTCATAAGATTGAACCCCTGCTGAAAATGTTCATAAAAAAACGTCAAGAAATATATGTACCCGGCAAAGTAGTATGCATTGACGAAAGCCTCATTCCGTTTCGTGGATGTTTACTTATAAAGCAGTATATCCCAAAAAAGACCCACGAATATGGTCTAAAAATGTTTAAACTTTGCTGCAATAATAGTTATACATGGAACATGAAACTTTATGCAGGAAAAGAACAAAATCCTACTACGTCAGTGCTGACAAAGATTGTAATGGAACTTTCAGAAAAACTCTTGAACACAGGAAAGAAAATGATAACAGACAATTGGTATACTAGTTTAGAATTAGCAAATCAACTTCTAGAATTCTAGACAATAATACACATTTAGTGGGAACACTTAGGGCTAACCGTAAAGGTAATCCAAAGAGTGTAGCATCAAAAAAGTTGAAGGTAGAGGAAATTATTGTAAAAAAAAATAATAGAGGCATTTGCGTCGGAAAGTGGCGAGATGAACGAGATATATCGACTTATCAGATCGAATGACGAGTTATAATACAGCATTACGTAAGACAATAAAATGGTTCAGGAAAATTGCAGTGGAAATACTGTTAGGTACAGATGTTGTCAATGCACACATATTATACACTGTGTCCGTAAAGTATCGAACAAATTCATTTTTAGCTAAACAGGTCATTTTAAAAAATAATCCTGAAACACGTCGATTTTTGATGTTAATTCACCGTATATTAAAATAATAATCTAATATACAAGGTGAATTACGTTCGAGTAAAGACGTCACCGTCATTTTTTTTAAATGGAACACCCCCATTTTGTCTCAATTTTCGGATTACTCTATCTGAGCTGATTCCAAAAATGTATCACATGTTGATTCCAATTGGTACAGGGTGGACAAAAATACAGTAGTTGTGTGTGTATTAATAAAGTAACGCGTAACATTCTTTATTAGGTAAACTAACAATATTATCAAAAATACTTATTGTCTAGCGGCAATTGGTTTAAATGTAACACCCCGTAGTTTACTACATGTTTAGAGTAATAAAAATGAGCTGTTTCCAAACATGTTTGGTACAATTGAGTTTTTTCTCTTTTGAATAAAATAAGAATTTATCTTTCCAATGATGTATCACAGGTTATCATTCTTCTACGAAAAATTGAAGATATTGAAGAAAATTAATTCTTTTCATGATAGGCTTTGTCTTTCATGTTTCTAAATTTGACTTTCAATTTGTTACACTCAATGAAATTTTGTTATTGGACAAGTCATTGAATTTTTGACGAAAAATGGCTTTCACGAATGAAGAAAAAAGAGATAGGATACAAATGTATTACAAGTACGATAGAAACAGTGTTAGGACATCGGAAATGTATTTAAATTCATATCCTGAAAGACGACAACCACATCGAAATATGTTCAAGTTATTGGATCGAAATCTTACCGAGTTTGTTTCATTTGAAAAGCCGAGGAAAACACCGAGACAGAATGAATGGACCAGGAAGCTAAAGATAATTTTATAACTGAGGTATATGTATGAGGTAAGTTAGACATTGTGTCCTTTTCAATAAAAATTAATAATTTGCAGATAAACATGAACCCGGGGGATTCTACACATTAAAATTCCTTCCGAAATGAATATTTGTCATACGTACAAGCGCTTGGAGACATCTCAAAAAAGCGGTTTGAAATGTTACAAAATACATATGTTACGGGCAATGCGATTAACTGAACATTATTAATAACGACCGGCCATTATTAATAATGCCCAAGAGCGATGGGCAAAGTGATCAATTCATCACTTTGACCAGCCATTATCAATGATGTCCGACGGCCCGTGGTCCATGTAATAAGTCGATGTTTGAATTTATCACTTGGACCGGGCAGTATGAATAATTCTCTACTTGTAAACGGGCAATGTGATGAATTGGTACACGACAAACCTCATCATAGCCAATCTCAAAGTAGGTTTGAAATCAGTCTTGCCATCATTTGACGGGTTAACGGAGATAGTAAGTGGAGATGACCTTGAGGCAATGTTAAAAGATGGTGATTCCGGTGAAAGTCAAAACGTAATTGAGATTCTTCTTCCTAAATTTGTATTTGTTCATTTCTCTTAGTGTAGAAATGTATACTCGTTTTCGCTATTTATTCGTACTTATTTCAATAAAGAATACTCGAGTTTTGCATACTTATTATATTTAGTATTGAGAAAAAACCATTATCAATTTTGAAGCGGGTAATTTTAGGAGGAGCAATTGGAATCAAAAAATTCATACGAGAGAAATGATCAGCAGTGCCATGGCGGTCATGCTTATATAGCTAAATGCGTGTTAAAGCGGTCGTCTTGTCTGTATAGCTCTCCAAATCAAGTTACTACCGTCGGTCACAGGCGACCTGGCACTGGAGGAAATGTCCTCAAGTGGTTTCTAATGACCGCCCTGGTGTTGAAAGTGTTAATTTAATATTCGTTATTACCGTTTCTGATTTGGTTTTATTGCACATTTCATGTACACATTCCCATGCTTTAGAATCATTAATTAGTTTTTGGGAATAGTTTTTCTTTGCCAACTTCAACAGCTTCTCTTATTTTTTTTTGAGTGAAGAATATTGTCCCTTTATTATTGTATCATTTGGATTATTCATCATTTCTTTATATTTCTTATTTTTCTCCTTGATTTTTTCGATAAGTTTAGACGTTATCCATTTTTTCTTTCCAGTGTTTTAATTTTTGATTTTAATTGTAACCGTTTCCTTCTATACATCTTTTAACTATTGCTTGTTGCCTTCGAATCATGCAATAGCTATTAACTGATTTTCCAGACATACTTCGCAGACAAACGTCTTCTGAAATGTCTAACAATTGAGGATGACTCACTGAATCGAACGCTTTCACAGTGTCTTTGAAAATACAAGTAGATCTCTTACTGGCATCTGAGTTCTTCAACATTTTTGATGTTCGGTGGTAAATATCATCCTGTTTTTATTTATTTCCTTGAAAACCGTAAAAATTCCATATACGGTTTGGGGCTAATACGAACATCATAGACACTCGGAAATAAAATTTCCAGTTACCCTTCCACTGGGTTGAAATTGATCGATGCTCTTTCTGTTTTCTAGTGAATATTTCATGAAGATCTGACCTCGAGGTCATTAATATCACCCGACGTTTACTAATAACTATAAAAACGTCCGTTATGTGAATATCCCGTGCGAGCATTTGATATATCGCCGCAAACAAAGAATAATAAGAACGCTCTTGGCTTGCAAACACATTTTTTGATAAGTGCGCTTTCATATTCTACGTTCCTCTTTTCTGCTTGGCTCAGAATGAAAGTGGAGCCTGAATATTCATCAGGATAACATTCCGTTCTTTATAGAGCAAGGTCTGACCTTAGGAAGGGAACGAGAAAACACGGGTGATGTCACATAAATCCTTGGAAGGATGTCTCCACCAAGGAACGAACAACTGAACTACCGGGACGGGATTTATTGCTTTTCCTGCTCGTGTACTTACTGGCCTATGATAGAGTCAGTAGCTCAACCTGGAATGATCAGGGTGTGATTCTAGAAAATTTTTCGTTATTTCGATTTGTGATTTCACTATCCGTGAATGACTTGAAATTTATTGTATGTGGTGTTCGCCTAAAAAATATACATAGTATGTAAAAAACAAGTTTTGACTTCTTGATTTCGGACATTTGATAGCATGCTCAGAATCATTCGCTGAAAAAAGGTAGAGGTACTATAGATTCTTCAAGTTCTACAATGCTGTATAATTCAAATTCTTTTCGAACTCAGTATACTCCGTACCACAATGGGGAATGTTCCTCAATTTGGGTTATGAGTTTTTCAAATCCACTTCGAAAAGTATTCAAATTAATGTTTCAAAGGTTTCAAGTGTTTTAATTTTCAAAGGGATTTGTTTCTAATTCACATATTGGCAACAGCGTCTATATCAAGTTGAAATAATTTATGCGTATCTAGATATTCTACTTTAAAAAAGGAAAATTATCTTTATACATCAACAGTTAAGGCAAAATATAAATTATAGTTCAATACCACCTCCACAAGCCACATAAACAACAGTTGTTTTGTTATTTATTCATATTGAGGAAGATAGGTGAGGTACACAAAATGTCATATGTCACAGAATGTCTTGGAACTCGTGAACAGAAACAGTAAACAGAACAGCATGCCTCTGAAATCTGTCATCTTTGTTTGTCTTATACAGGTAACAGATTCATTGTCCTTTATTAGTTATAACCCATGTTGCCAAATGGTGAAATAGAAACGAATCCCTTTAAATGTTGAATGCATTATTTCATTCCCCTATTTTAGATATTCAAATAATTTTTTAAAGAAACAGGTTGACATGATAAGTTTAAAATGCGTTGTTTTAGAGCTCTCTTATGAAAACTACATGATTTTCGTCAGGAGGAACATTTCCCATTTTCCGATGTATTATTTGAACCAGGACTCGCAAAAGATTTATCTTCATTACATAACGCATCATGAACCACTGAACCATTGGCCAAGCCAATGCACTGGCCAAACGTAGACCCGCTGGATATCGGAATAACAGATTCACTTGTGGTTCTGTTATTTTTTAACTGAATGGCATCCCAACGATGGCTCAATCCTAAAGTGTGTGTATCAGTGCCGAGAAGATGAATGACACTGAGCCTATCAGCTGTCTCTACAGAACCTTCGAGATACCGAGCGCCCGCTCGTCGTAGCATCGCCTTGTCACGGTAATGCGGGGCTCTGCCGTGATTGACCTTCTTTCCCTAGCTACTCGTGGGACTTTTATGGACAGAGTAAACTCAAAACTTCTTTCTGACACTGAGTCTGAAGGGGAGACAAATGTCAATCCTGATCCAATAACTGAATCTAAAAAAAAGTTTGGTGGTGCAGCCAAAAACGACTAAGTCGTCTCCTCAAGAGCGGGGTACTTCATGAAACCGCTTTGCACCAAATTCTTGAGCGGCGTACGCAGAATCTGTTCCCCATAAGCAGGCTAGCAAACATTTGCGCTCAAGTAATGATTTACCAAAACCAGAGGCCAAAAAGCCCTGCACGAGTGACTCTAGGGCTAGGGCATCGTCAGGTGTAGCTGACG